CTGATTGGGTGGAGGGGGCGGGGCCAACAAAAAAAGTGGTGGGGGGGTAAAAAGGGTGGGGGGGTGGATTCAAACTCCCCAACTTACACTACTAAGATCAACCAATGTGGGTCCTCAACCAACCTATTTCCAAGTAGGTGATGATGGGGATCTATCACTATCACTTTATATCACTTAACTACATGATTGCATAGTGAGCAAAAATGGAAAACGTACAAATTGGACAGAGATTGTTGTGTTATTTTTATAGTGTAAGTAGCATTGTGTTTTATTACTATTTAGTCTTAACAAATAGATGAACATCTTAGGTATTTACTGATATAAAATATTTATCATTTTTAATTGTTAGTTACAATAAATATGTAAGTTCTGTTAAGTAAGTTATGTAAGTAGTAAAAAATTTGCTATATTTTCTTAACCCTTTATATTTACTTGTCCTCTTAAATAGCAACTGCCAATAGTAATATTCAAATAATATATGTAATAATAAAAGTCCACACTGTATATGCAATTCATTCATCATTTTAGAACCTAAATGTAAAATTTTGTTATAATTATGTTGAAACCCATTTCTATTAAGGAAATTAGAAAATGAATATGTTTTCTTATAATAAAGTACTGGTTATTTTAAACTACTCTTTTTTTACCTGAAATGATTTGTTAAGTATGATGCATTAGTTTATTTTTATGCAAAATTAATTTTTTTTATTTTTTTAAGTCAAATTTATAAATAGATTTTATTTCATACTGTTCAATAGTGATCCATTTTTTGAATCATTTTTAGGACAAAAAATGGAACTTTAAAGTTCTAGGACGATAAAGTAAAAATCCTAGTACTTCAAAGAAGTTTCTATGGTAACCCACGTATTACCATAGTATAAATAAATACTATTTGATTTTTTAAATAAAGTCATAAAAATTGTATGTACCATGGAGGAAAGGTAGCTTTAGGATAAGGGAGAGTCGGGTAATGGGAGTCACCCTCACAGCCACGAAACAGTAGGTACATGCGTGTTATCCGAACACCCTGTATATATATTTTCACATTATTCATATATTGTTTTATAACAATTCTATACTTATAAGTGTCTATTATTATTCTGCTGACAATGGAAAATCGCCTGCTGAGTTGCTAGCTGATAATAAATAGTATAAATACCCAACCAGCCGCTCAGAAGGACGATTATAGATTCAACTTCACCTAACGTTGTAATTAAGACAAATAAAAGTGTTATCTTCCAAAATTGTTATAATTTCAAGTTATCTACGGTTAGTGCTGTCGAAATTCATCGAATCAGAACTGCTAGGGGTTGGTCAACTAGCCGCAGCTTCCTGTAGACAACGACCCAATAACTTGCGAGCGACGCGTAAACAGCGTCCTTACCCTCCGCTCTGGCCCTCGGCGCAGCCTGCAACGGCTCGCACCAGTCAGCGCCCACGCCACTGAGAAACGACCGGTTCTGTTTTTGTGCTCCGCTGATGTAAGTTTACGTCAATGCAAATTAGAAGGTAAGTGCCGAATATCTTGCAGTGAGACATTTACACGTACTTAGTTAGACGTTCAAAATTGTGATGTGCTGATGTGTAGTTCAGATTATATCAGTGTGTTATTTTTATTTTTTTCTCATTAGTGTAGTTGTGGGAAATGAGAGTCAGGTGACTCCCATTACCCGCAAGTGATCACTATTGCCCGCAACTATGCATGTTTATTTACGTTATTTTTATTTCTTTCTAGGTGCCGCAAGAACGAGTCAGGACAACTGAAAAGGCTTCCTGGTCTTCTGATAGCCTGGAAAAAGTTATACAGCTTAAAGTAATGGGAATCCCTTTTTCGAGTCTTCAAAAGAGGGTGAAGAAAGGTTCTACCTTAGGACCACATCTAGGACGATTCACTGTCTTTAGTCCTGAGGCAGAAGCCGAGCTAGCAAACTTGGTAAAGAAAATGGCAAATATTTTCTATGGTTGCACTGCTAATCAAATCAGAAAAGTGGCTTTCGAATATGCTGAAAAATTGAATTTGAAGCACAATTTTAACCAAGCTTAAAAAATGGCTGGACGCCATTGGTTACATGCGTTTATGACTAGAAATAACATTTCTATTCGGAAACCGAAGGCGATCAGCATAAATAGAATCATGGCATTTAATAAAACAGAGATAAGTCTGTTCTTTGAGCTACTTGGACAGCTGATGGAAAAGCACAGATTTGTTGCAAAAAATATTTATAATTGCGATGAAACCGGTATTTCAACGGTTCAAACTCCCGGAAAAATTTTGGCTGCAAAAGGACAGAAGAGAGTGGGATCCATAACCAGTTGGGAGAGAGGAAAAAACATCACCTTGTTGTGTGCTATGAGCGCTGCAGGTGGGTACATTCCACCTATGTTTATTTTCCCTAGGAAAAGGTTGATTTCTCTACTCGAGAAGGATGGTCCAGCAGGAGCGCTTTACAAATGCTCAGACAACGGTTGGATCAATGAGCATCTCTTTGTTGAATGGTTGGCGCATTTGAAACAGCACGCTAAGTCCAATCACATGCATATGTTGTCTCTGCCACCACACACGTCTCATAGAACGCAGCCCCTGGATGTGTCTTTTTTTGGTCCGCTCAAAATGGCCTACAAAAAAGAATGTGACTTATTTTTAAAAAGCCATCTTGTAGAAAATAAAACTCCTTATGACGTAGCATCCTTGGTTAGGAAAGCATTTAATAATATTGCGTCTATTAGTAAAGGAGAATCGGGGTTTAGATCCACTAAATCCGGAAGTATTCACTGAAGAAGATTTCCTCGCTGCAGAAATTCTCCAATCTGAGACCAATCCAAGATTGCAATGAATGTCTCGCAGCTACCAGTATGATTCCCAGCACATCAAAAGAAATTCACTCACCAGTTCCGAGCATTTCAAAATAAATTGATTCACCAGCTCTTAGGATGTCCAACCAATTAGTGGTCCCACTTGATTCTGAACCAGATGTTGTACCACCAGTTCCTGGCACGCTAAACCAAATCAGTACTACATTGCATTATTTAATCAAGTTGCCAGAGAAAACACCTGTTATTAATACAAGACAGGGCCAAAAGAAGCAACACGCTACAATTTTAACTTCAACACCAATAAAAGAAAACCTGTTAGAAAAAGAATATAATAAAATGAAGAAAAAAGGAGACAAAGGAAAAGAAAAGAGATGGAAAGGCAAAGGGCAGGGAAAAAAGACTAAAGATACAGAAGAAGGGTACTGAAAAGGCAAAGCGCCAAGTATTACAAGAATCGAACGAAATTTCTATATCAGATGTTGGTACTGACGACTTATGCCGGGACGATGAGGATGACGATGCAGAAGATGCTGGAAACAGATGCCTAGTATGCGACGAATTCGGAAGAAACAACGAGATGTGGTTCAGATGAACCTCATGTGGGCTATGGAACTCAGCTGAAGGTTATGTCTGTGATATGTGCTAGATTTTCTTTGACTCCAATTGCCTCCAGGGTGATCACTATGTTGGTGTAATGGGAGTCAAATCTGTTTTTTTTTTAACTTTTATAATTTACAAAGTTGATTGCTAAAGTGACTGAAATTGATCTCTAATGATAGTTCAATAAGTAAATTATGTTTAAAGGCGGTTGCAATAAATACTTTATTTTTAATTAAAATTTTATTTGAGTTCTCGCTTAAGTGACCCCCATTACCCTGTATTACCCTACTCGTAAATTTTTACGGCCTCGGCTACGCTTCTGCCGTAAAGCTTCATTTTTCGTCCTAGATACATAAATATTAATCAAAATTGTCAAAATCGAATTTACCGCTCAAAATTGTAGCGCCTTTTTTTTTGAATAGCTTCAGTAACAGATCAGGAGTAATTGTCTACGCTAAATGCGAAACTTTGGTTCGCATTCTCCTAAAGCGCTGCTGTCAACTGTGTGTAAAATGCTGAGTAATCAGTTTCTATTCTAGAGGGTGTTTTGTACATTCATGTTCCTGACATTGAACGACCGGTAACCCCCGTGAAAAACTTCATCAGTCCAGAAATAGTAAAACCATTTCCAAAATCAACTCTAAATCAAAACGTAAATAAACGCAAGAAACGATCAACTGAGATTTTAACGAGCACAGCTATATATAAGAAGTTGGAAGAAGAAGAAGAGGCGCTAAAGGAACAGAGACAAAGAAATGTTCGGAAGAATGATGCACAGAGGAGAATTGGTGGTGATGATGATGATTCTATTAATAGGAATAAGAAGAAAAAGAAACAAGCTCCCGCAATTTAAAGGCGTGCCGAATTTAATGGAGATTCTGATGATGAAATAGATGAGAATGCATTATTACTTACTAGTTCTGATGAAGTAGACTGGTGTGAAGACCCACAAAGAGATGAAAATATTGAGGATTTGGTCAATATCAGTGTTGACAGCTTTGTTTCAGTAAAATACCCTACGAAGAAAACAATCAAATACTGTATAGGCCAAATTCTCGAAATTATCTCCAAGGAAGATAACAAGATAAGTTTTTTTGAGGAAACATGACAAAACTTTTGCATTTCCTACTGTTCTTGACATTTCTATAATGCAGTTCGACTATATAGTAATGCACTTACCAAGGCGGAACCGTGAGAATTCAAAGCTTGTATAAAGCAATTGATTTCAGCATGTTTATTTTATATTAATTTAACTTTTATGTATTTACATCTTACAAATGTTTAATAAAAGTTACTAAAAAGTACTGGCCACTGTACATTCTTCAGAGATCCACTGTACCATATCCACATGGTACAGTGGCCACATGCTCGTTTTTTTTTAAATGAAGTGTAACACTACTGTGGCATTTTTTACACGCCATATTTACATGAGTTTAGTAAATTCATCTACACTGATGATCGTATATAATAAGTAACACATTAAAATATTGTTACAACAAGCGGTAAGTACAGCATATTTTACAAAAAGGTGGCTACTGATGCAGGCTCTCCCCTACGTTTCTCTAGAGGCACACATAGGTTAACGTTTCATGTCGTATCTAAAATGTTTAAGCTTTTGGTGCAATACGTAATAGTCCAAGAGAATTAAGCTCAAAATCTTCGAGATATGGCTGTCGCTTGACGTAGATAAGATATTAGTAAAAATCGTTCGAAAATAATATATACAATGAAAATATAAGGTTGCGCCAAGAAAAAAAGTTGTGCTATTTGCAGAAAAAATTAAAAACTGCGAAAATACTCAAAAATTACGTGTTTTCTCTCACATTTTCCAATATAACTTTTTAAATATACAGTTTACAGAAAAAACTATTACTGATGAAATTGTTTGGTATAAAATTTGCTACAAGATAGAATTGTTTTCATATCTGCGCATATCATATTTTTGTTGCTAGATACCCAAAACAGCGTATGAGTGATGAAAATCGAGGTAATTTTGAAGCGTTCAACTGACAGGTAAGAAATTGTCCAATTCTACTATAAATGTAGATGTAAGTACTTTAAAGGATTACAAAACGAAATCCCAAAACCCGATCCAAATCGGTCTGATAGTTTTGGTATGAAGCAATTTGTTACTAAATTTCAGCGCGAAATGTAGTTATTTCTTTACGTCAGTGCTGGGGTTAAAGTTAGGCATTTTATTTGGCGCTGATTTTTTTACACATACTTGGACCCCTTAATTATCATATAGAATGGTCATAATATCAGTTTTCTTTTTTTAAATAATTTCTGGAGTGATTTTAAATGTTCGAAAAATTTTGACTTTATAAACAAATACTTTCGTGAAGCGGTTTTGCGGGTTGGAAAAGATACCAAAGTACTAAAAAATAGTTCTCGGAAAGACGCTTAATTGAAAAAAAAATAACGTTCAAATCGGTCGTATAAGTTCGGAGATATCAAGAGTCAAAGTCAACAAGCGTTAGCTGCAAAACTATGCATAATGTAACAACAAAAATTGAATTTGGTAGGTTTTTTAAGAACTTTTTGTATCTACTTTTGTAAATATTATCGCACATGTGCTTTTTATATGAAAATTTAATAAATATCGCCAAACCGACCATTTGAGCCGCAAAACCGTGGGGAGGGGATGAATGATAGAAATTGAAATCGCGCTTTCAAAAAGAGCGCGCGCGCATCGGCGTTCAATATCTTTTGCTTCTATGGCTCTGATTTTGATGATAATTCTTTTATAAAATGGACATAGCAAAATGAGAGGAATTCAATTATCAAGATTTCATTAAAATATTATAAAGCCCTTTTCGGTCTAGTACGACTACTTAAAATTTCGCGCATTTCATTGTTATACTGTATATTCATATAAATAATAATATCGATGGTACGATATAGGTACATAACTGTTAATAGCTATTAATTTTAATAAATACGTGGTAATAATGTTTAAATAAAATCATGAAATTTTTATTTAATATGTAATTTATTTATTGTATGCACATATAGAAAAAAATATAGATACAAATAATTATTTATTTATGTTTATAAAACGGTTTATTATTATTTTCTATATTATATGTATACAATAAATAAATTATATTTTAAATAAAAATTTCTAGATTTTAAACATTATTACCAAGTAATTATTAAAACTGATACATATTAACAATGGACTATGTATATCTACCATCAATATTATTATTTACATGAATATACAACAACAATGAATTGTGTGAAATGTAAGTAGACGTAATAGGCTGATAAGGCTTTATAATATTTTAATGAAATCTTGATAATTGAATTCCTCTCATTTTGCTATATTGCTTTAAAAAAAAATCATCAAAATCGGAGCCGTAAAAGCCAAGATATCGAATGCCGAAAATGGCGCGCTCTTTTTGAACGCGCGATTATATCATTCTTTCATCCCCTCCCCACGGTTTTGCGGCTCAAATGGTCGGCTTGGCGATATTCATTAAATTTTCATATAAAAAGCACACGTGCGATAATATTTTCAAAAGTACATACGAAAAGTTCTTAAAAAACCTACCAAATTCAATTTTTGTTGTTATTACAATATGCATAGTTTTGCAGCTAAGGCTTGTTGCCTTTGACCCTTGATATCTCGCAACTTATACGACCGATTTGAACGTTCTTTTTTCAAATTAAGAGTCTTTCCGAGAACTGTTTTTTGGTATATTTTCCAACCCGCAAAACCGCTTCACGGAAGTATTTGTTTATAAAGTCAAAATTTTTCTAATTTTTAAAATCGCTCCAAAAATTATTAAAAAAAAAGAAAATTGATATTATAACGATTCTACAGGGTGTCCAGAAACTCTTCTGCCAAACGGAAACTACAGGTACTAGAGGTTATTTTATGTCGATTTAAGTCAAATTACCTTAATCCGAAAATGCTTCCTAAGTGAGCTACAGCCCTTTGAAGAAGACATCGTGAGTTTTCTTTTAATTATTCAAAGATGCCTTTACTTAAAAATTTCAAACTTTGTATGATCAATAAACGGATACAAACCCGTCATTCGCTATAATTAATTTTTTTTTACAACCACCACAAGCGTATCAGTAGGGGTAAGACAATGGGTATTTTTATTAAAAATTATTTTATTTTTTACTTTTTTTTGTATCCGACACCAAATTTGAGAAATTCAAGATAATTTTCACAAAAAATGTCCTCTTCTTTGAAATCGATATCATGAACCGTTTTCGAGAAAAATAAATTTAAACTTTTCATGTTTCTAACATAACATCATGTTGTATTATAAAATTGTATCTGTAATATCAAGTTGGCTTTGAAAAATCAACAAAATCTGACAATGTGTCAAATTATTTTGATCATAA